CTCTGCTTTCCTCCCGGATAACATTATTCAAATTATTATTAAGATTCATTTTAATTGCAATGTGGGGGACATGTTACTGTTTTTGTGTTCTAAGGATGGCTCTTTCAGCATCAAGAATGCCTGGAATTCTTTTCGGACTAAGAAGGATACCTCTAAACTTTTTAAAAGGATTTGGCATAACATTATTCCCCATACTGTTTCTATCTTTATTTGGAGAACTTTATATATTTTTTTACCTTTTGATGATAATTTAAGGAAGAAAGGTCTCATTATTACCTGTAAATGCCAATGTTGTTTTCATGTTGACAATATGCATCATATTTTTATTTCAAGTCCTATAGCTGTTAAGGTTTGGAATTTTTATGAGGATTTTTTTCATTTGAATTTTTAAAATGCTACTCTTTCTATATCCCAGTTACTTGATCTTTGGTTTGTTGACTACAAAGGTCATATTAGAAATGTTATTTCTTCTCTCATTTGTTGGTATATTTGGTTGGCTAGGAATGACTCTAGGTTTAATGAGGTTATTATGGATCACCAAAGGATTATTAACAAGATTAAAGACAAAATGTTTTCTCTTTTCACTGCTAAGGTGCTGTCTATTAAGAATTTCAATAATTTTTTTTCATACTATGTCTTTTTTTGGCATTTCTGGAGATTGGAATAATGCTATTATGAAGCCTTTTTGTGTTAGTTGGTGCAAGCCTATTCTTAACTACTTTAAAGTGAATGTGGCGTGGGCTAAAGTGGGTAATACCTTTGGTTATGCGGGTATTATCAGAAATCATCTTGTTGTTTTTATCTCTGGTTATGCTAGTCCGACTGTGGTTGAGGATATGCATATGGTAGTTCTTATGAGTGTGATGAGTGGGATTAAACTCTATAATCGGTTCAGTATTAATAACATTGTCTTAGAGGCTAATTTTCCTTTGGTTAGCCTGATCGATACTGGTATTAATGTCCTGCCTTGTGCTCCCCCTCTGTTTCACTTCAGGAGAAGGATTATTGAAGAGCTGAATTCATTTTCCCATTCCTTTTTTGTTATCAATAAGGAGGTGAATGTAGTTGCCCTGGCGTTGGCTGTTCTGGGTACTGTGTTCAAGAATTATAAGGAGTTGAGCATGGATCAATTGCCTGTTTCCATTCAAGGTCTTTGAACTTAGACCAAAGTGGTTTTACTTATGTTTACCATTAGTTCGGGGCTATTTTTTTGGTGGGTTTTTTTTCTGTCTGTTGGTTTATTTTCTCCTTTTCTTGTTTTGTTCTTTATCCTGATGTCTTGTGCTCTGTTTGTTATGTTCTTTTGTTCCTCTTTGAGTTGGTGTTGGCTTGCGTGTTTTCTTCCATTTTGCTGGTTAGTGGTTTAGGGGGCTGGGTTTGGGGTTTTTTCTGACATTGTTGGGTGGTGCCTTTCGGGTAGGTCTGTTTGGTTCTCTTCTGCTGGGTGGTTTTTTGTTGGTTGTAGGTCTCTGTTTTTGGAGTTGTTCCTTCTTTGCTGGCGAGGTTCTTTTGGTTTGCGGCTACTAGACCATCTGGCCTGTTGTTGTTTAATGCCTGGAAGTTCTTTAAATTTTTTGTTCTAGGTGGTACTAATATGCTTGTTTCCTTTTTCTGGTGGTTTGTAGGCATTTTCATTCTGACTGGGTTGGGTAGGTGTGGAGGTTATTTCTGGAGCTGACATCTGGGAATGTCTTTATGATGAATGGTAATTCTGCTTCCTGTTTCCTTCTATTTCCTTTTGTTTTTCTTCTGTTGTTTTTGTAGGTTTGCTTCCACAATGAGGGAGTTTTTGGCCAGAAAGTCTGGGCTGATTGTAGATCTTTAGAGCTTTCTTATTTTTGGGCACTTCTTCTGTGCCGCCGTAGAATGTATCTAGGCGATTTTGTATTCCGTATAGGTGGGGATAATCGGCCCTTTGGTTTTTTTATCTTTTGGATTGATTGTAGCTCTTCGTGCAATAGCGGGCTGATCGTCCCCTTAAGGACTTGTAATTTTTCCTTATATCAATGCTAGGCCCCTCTGTGGGTTTAAACTAAAAAAAAAAAAAAAAAAAGAGGAAAATGGGTCCATTTGTAGCTTTCTTGAGAAATTTTTTAAAAAAAAGCTTTCTTGAGTAATATTTCAATAAATCAAGGTAAAGCTCAAAACATAAACTCCAATGATGCCCAAGTTAATTTCTTTAACTATACATTATTCCTTTCATCATTTAAATTGATATTAAGTGTCATCGACTCATTAGGTTCGTCTCATCGAGGAGGTCATTTCAAATATAAGAATGAAAAAATCAGAAATAATTGGTTCTTTAAATAATGTTCCAAACTTTCCCACAACATCTCAAGTATAGGATTTGGGCTTATTTTAACATGGATTGTATAACTTTAGACTTTGCTGAGCTTATATTATAGAGATATTAAATTCGAATATAAATTTGATAAAACTACTTTATGAAATTAATCACTTTCGGTCTTGTTAATTTACTTCATGCGTATCTAAATTAAATTAAAAAAAAATTTCAGTGTGACATCGAATTTCACACTTGATAAAAATTTTTTTCTAATGAATTATTATATTATTTAATTTTTTTAAATAATAATTTTTTATCAAAATCATTTCCAAATAATTTTAAATCAAAATATTTCTAAAATATTTCATGGCCGAAATAATTTAAAAATTTTTCTTGGCCAAAATATTATTAAAATACTCGATGACCAAATTCCTATAAAACAAATTAAAATTTAAAACCCTTGAACAAATCCATCTCACATATAATCCACATCAAATTCGTTTCTACTATTCGGCTATCATTTAAATAAAAATTTTTAAATTTTCAAACGGAATGGGTCAAAGGCAACCATATCTTTAGCATTCATCAACAAATAAATAAAGTTAGATACACCCATTTCATAAATATAAAAAATAAATTAAAAATACGTATTTCTTACGACCATCATTGTGGAGCTGTTCTTCAGGAATAGGCATGTAGAAGCATCGTTTTTCCCTTTATCTCTCTCTAAGCGTTTCCTTATAAATCAATCGAAGGAGAATAGATACTTTTATCTCCCAAAATCTCAAATATTTTTCCATCTATCCGGAATCAATGAAACCCCATTGGAATCAAAGGGGCTAAAGAAAAAAAGGATTGATCCCAAGCTGGCATCAATAATAGAAGAAGAAGAAGAAAAGGATGATAATGATGAGGAGAAAGATGTGGTTCGTGTGATGAAGGAATTAGATGATTCAGACTGTGCCAAAAAAGTGAACGAAGGCCGAGATGGAGACGTGACGAAAATGTGGCAAGAACCGGTCTTTCGATGAAAAACAGAGCGTGAGCTCCTGCAGCGGCGGCGGCGTCGGAGACTTGTGATTGATACTGGGGGGTGTTGCTGCTGGCGGGGAGGATGAAAAGGATATTATCGACTACGCAGCCGGTGATGCTTTCCATGTCGGCTTTCTTTTCCTTGAAAGGGTACATGCGGCGGAGAAACCAGTCTTTGCCGGCGGCGGAGTGTAGGTGGACGATGCAGTTATCGGCACAGCGGTCCATGGCGGGTTTCTTCTTCTCCTCTTGCCTTCTGGGCTTCTTGGCTTCAGGAAAGACGAGGACGATATTTGCCTATATAATACTTCCCTTCTAATAGCTCTGTACACAGAAAATATAGAATTACTTCTTCTCCTTTTCTCTGTTTCCTTCTTCGTGTCTTTCTCCTTCTCATTTATGTTCTGTGCAATAACCACTTTATGGCATCAGAGCTATTACAGGGGAAGTATTATATTGACAAATATAGCTTGCTGTATCCAAGATTTCCCAAGATCTTGGAATACCGTACAGAAAGATAAAGTAGCGAGTGCTGACGTGTACATGTATTCTTAACAATGAAAGGGTTTAGTTGGGCTATAAAGGATCCACGCAATACTGCAATACTCTTCTCTAATAATACAAGTCTTCTGCAGCTTCCACCTGCTAGCTCATTGGTTTATTCTTCTTTTTCAGCTTCTTCAAGCCATTTAATGAATGGCTCAAGAGATTTAACAAATGTTTGCCTTCCCGTTGGGTTTGAACCTTTGCAAAACCAAAGAAGAATTGTATCCTTAGCTAGTACATCTTGATCATAAAGGAATCTAATGATTTCTGGGAATATCTTCATCATTTTGGCATCTTTATAACTTCCCACTTATAAGCATTTAAAAGTTCAGCCCTCGTTTCAACTTTACGTATTACCGCATTAGCATTCTATTGCTGGTTATTTCCAGACCACTAAATTGCATCCATTAGTACATCCCACAACAAGCATGCAACCCCAATATCTGGCATATTAAAATCACTAACTTGCTACTTCATGACCTCTGTAATTTCAGAAATATTAGTCACTTCTTCAGTTTGTGCTTTCAAAGCTGACTTCATCTCCGTTAGCTTGACATAAAAAAAAAAAAAAAAAAAAAATTCCTTTTGTTTTTTTTAAAAAAAGAAAGTTAACCCTTTTTTTTAAAAAATACTGCAATACTCTTCTCTAAAATGCTCAGAAGATTATTGAAGTGATTAGTAAGATTGTGATTATCATGAGAGAATTTGTAATCTTCTATTTTTTTATAATGTTGACTTTTTTCATTTAGAGGAGGATGATGCATCTAATATGTACATGTTTTCTTATGAAATTGATTCGAGTTCCAATTAAATTTTAACATAATTTTTTTTCCTAATTACTATTATAACTTCTTTATGTTTACTTTTCATTTGCTACCAAATTTAATTTATTAATTCTTTCAAATTTTATGTTGTAAGCTAAATGATATCATAAAATATGTGTAATTAAGAATGCCCATATTGGGAGATATATGTTGTAAGCTAAATGATCTTGAATTTTGATAAAAGAAAGTTTTTTCTTATTCATCCCCACATTTGGAGATATATGTGATTGGATATATAAAGATTTATTGTAGAGTTTAGGTGAATATATGAAACAAAAGTTTTACATGTGGGATCTTCTCTCATATAAAATTTATAGAATAAACAAATTTTAATTAAGCTAGTTACAACTCCATGTATGCATTGAAAATAGTTTAATGCAAGTTTTTTTTTTGGTTAAAACCCACGAGAGGGGCCTATGCGTTAACCTACGAACATGCTACGGTGCTTAAGGGAAATCACCCAAAAAAAAAAAGGAGTAAACAAAAAACAAACAAAATGCTCCCAGTAGCAGGTCTCCACATAAACCTTGCAATCAAACGCTCAAAAGGGATCCTGCACAACCAAAAAATAAACATGAAACTGCAAATAGAAAAATAAAGCAATTAACAATACTAAACAAAAGAGTAAAGATCTTCTAAAAAGGATACAGCCGAGCATGGTGCAACCAGCCTTGCTCCAGACAAAAAACAGCAGTAAGAAAGAAACTGCAACAAATCTGTAAACCCACCACACTCACCAAACAACAACTATTAACCCGAAGGCAGACCCGAACCCAGCACAGCCAAATAGGCCTCAGAAGTAACCTAGCCCCCTCCCAATAAAAACAAACCCAAATAAAGCTAGAACAAAACACCCAGAACAACAGAGCAACACCCGAACAAACAGAAGAAACCTCCAACCTGCACCACCACAAAGTAGAGAAAAAACAGAGACAGAAAACCCAAAAACAACCACAAAGAGCCCCCATAAGGCTACCAGAAATGCAGAACAACCTCCAGCACTAAAAACACTAAACCTTTAACATAAGGTAAACCCATACGATCTAAATTAATCCATACGATCCAAATTAACCATGCCTTTGATCGGGATAGGCAACTTATTAAGAGAGAATTCAACAATATTAGCAAAACTATAGCCCAGCTTAGCCAACACCCGAGTAGGCGCGTTGCCCTCCTCAAAAATAGTTGAAAAAGAACAGTTAAGGGAAGGCAAAATATCTCTAATACTCCTTCTAATGTAGAATAAGGAGTAAGAACAGTTACCATCATCCATATTAAGCAGAAAATTTAAATTAAAATATGAATTAACCTCCATAACAATACTCTTAAGGTCAAGATTAGCACACAAATTCAACCCATGAAGAACAGCAATAAGAAGGCCACCCATTCTTTCACTTTCGCCGGTCATACCAGCAAAAGCCAATAAGAAAACCCCATTATGATCACGAATAAGACCACCAACACTAGTTTTATTCCCCACATGAATACAGTCTATATTCAACTTAATAAAATTAATAGAAGGTTTGCACCAACAAATACTACTAGTATGCGTAAGGGAATTAGCCACCTCCATCTTAGTACCGAAAGCCTCCATAGTAAAACTAAAATTCTTAAAGTTTTTTAAAAAAAGTAACTTAGCAAAAAAAAGAGCCTTAACCTTATCCATAATTTTCTGAATGATTCTTTAATGATCCATAGCAATCCCATTGAACCGAGAGCCATTTCTTTCCAACCAAATGAACCAACAAATCAGGAAAGGGATCACATTCTGAACATGACCCCTATTGTGCACAAACCAGCCATCTAGTAGATTAAAGACATTGATGCAAGGGCTATAGAAAATTGAAATGAAACAAAGCCTAAAAAAACTCCAAACCTTCACAGCAATAGGACCAAAAATAAAAACATGATGCAAATTCTCAACGTGAATGCAGCATTGACATCTTGAAGTAATAATAAAACCTCTCTTTCTTAACAACTCATCCGTAGGAATATACTTATGAACAATCCTCCAAATAAACACAGAAATCAAGGAGGGAATGCTCTTATGCCATAACATTTTAAAAAGCTTGCTTACCTCATTATGACAACATAAAAAGTGCCAAGCATCCTTCGTTCTAAAGAGACCATCTTTAGTAAAAGAACAAAGCAAAACATCCTTAGAAATAAGGTTAAGAGGAATCTTAAGAATAAGATGAATAATAAACTCAGGAAGAATCTGGAAAGCTTCTCCAAATCCCAACCATTAGCAGAAAAGTAAAAGTTAACCTTCACAATGTCAATAGAAATGGTACTAAGTAAAGAATCTAGAGACTGACCATTAACCCAATGATCTTCCTAAAAGAAAATATTACCCCCCCAAGACCCCAAACTAAAGAGGGTTACACATTCCACTTAATCATACAAAGACGATGCCAAATCATAGACTGACCTTTAGAATAAAAACAGTTGGAAGGATGGAACCCCCCACAGTACTTAGCCCTCATAAACTTGGCCCAAACACTCACATTATACCTAAAATTATACCACAATTTAAAGGAAAACATAGAAACTAAATCAAACATAGACTTGCAACAAAGAGCCCCTTCTTAAAGAGACCCACAACAATTCACCCAAGAGGTCCAATGAATTTTAGAGTTGTTACCAGACCCTTTCCAAAAAAAATTATTAAAAATTTTGTCAAGTCTAGTGCACACCTACTTAGGAGGGAAAAGAGTTTGAAAGCTATAAACTGGCAAGGAAGAGAGCACACTTTTAATAAGCACAAGACGACCACCAAAGCTCAAAAAATTTGAATCCCAAGAAAAAAGCCTATTCTGCACAGTAGGAATTAAACCATCAAACAAGAAAGCCTTCTTCCTACCCTTATAGTGCGGAATACCCAAATATTTGAAAGGTAAGAAAGCATGAGAAAAACCAGTAATATTTTTAATATCCAAAACCCTATAAGAGGAAACATATCTAGCACTAACAAAACAACTTTTATTCTTATTAAAAATAAGACCAATAACAGATTCAAACCGTTTAAAGAATCTCATAATTTTGTTAACCTTGTTCCTCGAAGCATTCGAGAACACAATGAAATAATCGAAAAAGCATAAATGAGAGATGTTAATGCCACCAGACGTTTTAAAATAGAGACTAGGGCATTTAAGAAACAGATCCAAAAGCCCCCTAGACAAGAAATCCGCATTAATAATAAAGAGCGCAGGAGAGATTGGATCACCTTGACGAAGCCCATGGGAAGCTTTAAAGAAACCATGACTCTTACCATTCACAATAATAGAGAAAGAAGGATTTTTAATACACACTTTGATAAGAGAAATGAACTTCTCATCAAAACCAAAGAAATTCAACATTTTATAAATAAAACTCCAGTTAATATTATCATAAGCCTTAGCAATATCTAACTTCATAATCATATTACCCTCTCTAACCTTCACATCTAGGTCATGGCAATACTCCTGAGCCAACAAAATATTGTCGGTAATCGCACGACCTTTAACAAAACCCATTTGGTACGGAGAAATGATTTTAGGCAAAAGTAACATAAGCCGATTCATCAAAATTTTAGAAACTAATTTGTAAAAAATTGAACACAAACTAATGGGTCTATAATCATTCCAAGAATAACATCATTATTCTTAGGAATAAGAACAATCGAAGTAGAAGAGAAAAACTTAGGAATCGGAGAGCCCTTAAATAAATCAAACACAGTAGAAGAAATATCATTTGCAATAATATGCCATGAATGCTGAAAAAACTTGATAGTAAAACCATCGGGACCAGCCACAGAATCCACATTCATATTAGACAAAGTATCCTTAATCTCATCAATAAGAGGACAACCGGATAAACCCCTATTATCATCTTGAGAAACTAAGTTAGGAATAAAAGAATGCTCATCAATAGAAACAGGGGTAAAACACTTATTGAGATGCTTTTGAAAAAAAAATAACAGCAAGATTCTCAATCTCCTCAGAATCCTCAGTAACAGAGCCATCTTCCCTAGTAATTTTATGAATACCGTTAATAGCACATTTTTTATTAACCAAAGCATGAAAATATTTAGTGTTATTATCACCTTCCACCAAATATTTGAAAGCATCCTTTTGCTTCCAAAAAATTTCTTCCTGAGCATGAAGCTTACCAAGATCCCCTTTGGCGTCTTGTAACAACACAAGGTTACACACCGAAGGGTCTAACTGACAAAGCTCCTCATAGGAGTTAACCCTATCTTTAGCCAGCAAAATATTAGAAAAAAATATTCTTAAAAATGTGATGATTCCACCAATTTAAAACCAGCTTTAATCTTTTCAGCTTAAACCAAAGCCTATTCATACCAGAAATAGAATCATCCGGGAAAAGAGGAGCATGCCAATTATTTTGAACAACATCAAGAAAAGACTCATGAGTTAACCACATATTCTGAAATCTAAACTGAGCAGGAACACCCATAGTTTTAATCTTAACATTAATGAAGAGAGGGGAATGATCAGAGAGGGTGCGGCTAAGGTGCTCCACCTTAGTTAAATTAAAAGAACTAATCCAAGCATTATTAAACAACACTCTATCCAAACGTTTCCAAAAATTCCCACGATGCCACGTAAATTTATTACCAGAAAAATTAATGTTAATAAGATTGGAAGACATAATCATATAATTAAAATCATCAATGGACTGATAATTAGGGAGAGAACCCCCTAAACGCTCAGCTGGGTTAGAAATAGTATTGAAGTCACCACCAACCAACCAAGGAAGGGTACACACATTATGAAAGTTAATAACTTGATCCCACAAAGTCCTTTTAGAATAACGAGAAGAAACAACATATACAAAAGAAGCACCACATTGAAAATTTGAACTTTTAATATTGCAATGTAAAACTTGAGGGAAATCACCTATAATATCAATTCTAACAAAATCTTTCCAGAAAACCTAGATTTTATTGGCAACATTTGCTATAGCATTTTTTAAATCCAAATATTTAGCAGTAACAAACAATTTATCCATAGAAATAGGAGGTTCAAGCAAGACAAGAATTGAAATGTTATGAATGCGACACAGGTTTTTAACTCTAAATTTCGAAAAAGGTCACCCAATGCCCCTTACATTCCAAATAATAGCATTAAACATAGAAAAACTAATTAATGAGTTATATGCGAGCGAGTATTTCTGGGAGATTGTAAAATGACATTCATAGGTTTCCTACCTTTCTTACCATGGCCCTTAGATTAGCTCAAATCTTGATCTTCTCTAGCATATCATTTAGCCATTATTTCCACTTCAATGTCAGTGTAAGCATCACAATGATAATGATCTGATATGAGTAATTCAACATTATTCAGATTACCTGAAAGCTCCATAGAAGGCTTATGACCTTCCAAGTAAAAGACACCATCTTCCAAAGTAGAAATATTCTTCCCAAACCGGTCAGAACCATTTTGGATAGTAATAGGAGGTAAGTCTGTCTTCTGCAAAATAGGACCATTACTAACAATATCAAGCTCATTAACATTAATAATATCATTAGCTTTGTAGGACTCAATCTCCCCAAGATCCAGGAGATTATCCGAGCTATTCACAGGAATAGCATCCTACCACTTGTCATGCTCTAAAGGATCGGGATCCCTACTAGAGCAACCGTCATCCTGAATAATCCTCGGATTCAAAGTAGGAATTAAATTAGAAGAAAAATCATGAGCAATATTATTCTTTTCATTGGCAATAGGATCAAAAGAAATCTTATCATGGTTAGGCACACTAATAATAGAAGCATTGTTAATAAGATTCACTTCCAATTCCTTAGCCAAAGTAGCCACACCCATTTGCTCACCTTCTTACAAACCCATGTTCAGAGAACCAGAACCATTCCCAACCGCAATTTGTGCCATAGCCAAATCCTCCTTACCAACATTCGCATTAATTTTAGAAGAACCTTTCTCTTTACGAAGATTAGGAAGTAATCGGAAACATTCATTAATCGCATGACCATGCATTTTATAATGAGAGAAGAATATAGGTAAATTTTCAATCTCTATTTTTGAAAGTAACCATTAACTTCCGACCCTAGCTATATTTCATGAGGATACTTTTTTGTAACATCAAGTTCGACTAAAATGCATGCCACAGAAGGTCTAGATAAAGATGCTGTAGCTTGATCAATATGTAAAGGTCTACCGAAAACCGAAGCCATACCAAATAGAATATGAGTGTTAAAGAAATGTAAACGAAGATTAGGAAAAGCAATCCACACCGGGGCAATGGGAATTCCTCCCTCACATCAAAATCGGGTGACCATTTAAGAAGCCTCATTTGACAACCTTGGATGTAGTAAGAACGACATGAAAAAATATGACTATAATCTAAATCATTAGACAATTGTATCGCAATATGCTTGGGATCCAACAATCCCACGTTAAAGGAACCAGACAGTTTCAGATCATAATTTTTTTTTGAATCACATCTAGATTAGGTGTACGCAAAACAAATTTACCAACTAGAGTAAAAGAGAATGGTGCAGCAAGTTGAGAAACCACATAATCCTCAAACAGAAGTGCCGGACAACCCTTAAAGGAAGAATGCACAAAATGAACCCTAAAGCTGAAGAAGAAGAAGAACCACCCGACAAAACATCCTTGAATTATCGGGTCTTACCAATCGGAACAGAAGGAATAGCCGAGCTGGATGACGTCGGAGATGTCATTGCCCTCCCACCAACCGAAGCCTCAACGATACCTCAAAACCCCGAAAAATAGACACCAAAATAGGGCAAAACCGAAAGAAAACCCCTAGAAAAAAGGGCCAGAGAGAAGATTGGGGTTACCAGAGATTAGCAAGAGAAAGAAAAGGCAAAAAAAATTGACCGGAGAATGAACGGACCACTCCTGGAGGCGGAGCGACGAGATCGCCACGAAATCAAACAGAGGGGCGTAACGGCTAGTGCAGGAGCGTTGATGATACTCCTTGGAGGTTGAACTCAAGCAAAAATAAAGAAAGAAATTATTAAAAATGTTTTAAAAGGTTTATATGTATACATATAAGATAGATAGAGAGAGTTTTGTTACCCGCTCATAGCTCCAAAGAAATCTTGATGTATTGCTGCTAAGATCCTAAGGAACCTGGCCAATGATAAAATTTAATACACTATAGAAAAATTACCTATTACTGACTGATTTTCCAACGACTTTCTGACATACTATTTTCCAGTGGCTTTCCAACAAATTTCCGACGGATTATGTTCGATTAAATTTTCTACAAATTTTTCAAGAGCTCTCCAGCGGCTTAGGTTCCAGCAAGCGGATAACGCGGGAGGCCAGTGGGGAGGTGGGTTATTTAAATAAATTATTTTTAATTTTTGGCGACATTATTTCACCGAAAAGAAGGCCAATAAAAAAATTATCGCCCAAATTAGCCGCCGGTTGTCGTTTCCTACGCGGCTTTTACCATCGACAAAAATATCAGTTGGAAAGATGAATTTCAACCAAAAAATTGTCAATTTCCGTCGAAAAAGTCATGATAGGTGATTTTTCTTTAGTGATAATCTTATGTAAATTTATATAGAAAATGTCATATGTTTAAAGGTCTATGAGTGGGATAGTGTAGCTATTGACCTATGTATAAAGAACAAAAAAAAAGGGAAAAAGAAGAAATCCAACGTATACATCTCGTACCTAACGGATCCTCAAAATCCTTCGAAGAGCCTCGATTCTGCCTCTGCCTTCGCCCTTTAAAATGCGAACGAAGGCCCTTCTTCGCTGCTTCCGCTCTCACAACCGAACTCGTGTCGCTACTTTCCATTTCTCCTATCTCCACTCTACCATAGTTCTGACCCAAGACTCTCGACTCCAATCCACAGCCGATTCCAACTACCGCAAACTCCTTTCTTCTCCGCCTCTTCCATCCGAAACAACAAATTGTCAAGCCGGCCAGCTCCTGTCGATCTAATCTCCTTGCTCGACTCCTGCAAGCTATCCAACACTCCATCTCCTCTGTCTTGCTCGGTCTCTTGCCTGACTCCTCCATAGATAGATAGATAGATAGATAGATAGATAGAGTGAGAGAGAGAGAGGGAGAGAGAGAGAGAGAGAGAAACAACATACTCGTAGCCTTCCTCCACCGAACTCATGCCTCATCCGACCCTATGTCCCTCTACATAGTGGAAATCTAACCTAATCCCTCTATATACACCATTCTAAAACCTCTCCTATAACCCATTTACTAAACTACCCTCACTCAAATACAACTCAACTCAGCCCCAACTTAGCCCAACTCTACCCACTCAGCCCAACTCACTCATTCACTCAACTAGCTCCAATTCAAACCAATACACTCACAAGCCCAAATCAGCTCTAGGTTGTCTCTCTCTCCCTCACTTCAATATTTTGATGCTAAGTGCATTTAACATTAATATTAATATTAATGCTAATATTAATATTAATGTTAATATTATTTTTATAATTATATTCTTATTATTTTCATAATAGTAATAATATATTTTTAATAATAATATTAATAATATAGTTTCTATTACTTTAATAATAATAATATTATTTATTAAAAAAAGAAAATCTTCTCTCGTGGGTTGCAACGGGCCGGCAAAACCCCTACATGCTCACGTAGCATTGTAGGGAGGGAAACCGGCACGGCGCTTGCGGCGACTTAAGAATCTCCTTCAATGCTAACAACAAGCCGGTAAACCCCCTATGCGCTCACATAGCGTTGTGGGGAGGGAAACCGGTGTGGCGCTTGCGGCGAGGGGGATAAAAAAATACATTTGTACATATATATTTAATATTAAGTACCCCCGAACGCTCACGTAGTGCAGAGGGGGGAAATCTATTTTTTTTTTTTTAACTTGTGCTCCAAACCCTTAAACGCTCACATAGCGGGCAATGATTTTTAATAAATAAATTGCAACCGCGGTGTCATTTTGACACCTACCTAAAGCACTCACATAGCGTCGAGGGAAAGGTTTCCTCTTGGGTTTTTCCCCTAAATGGGGGAGATGCCGGGAAGCTTCCAAAAGTTTCACTGAAACTGAGGACTTGGACAAATTTTGGAGAGCTTGAACTTGAAATCTTTTGGACAGCATGGAACTCATTTTGACACTCAAATGAACTTGCAAGTGGACTTGATTGAACTCAAATGAACTTGGTGCAAAGGACAAGAACTTGGACCAAATCACATTGAACTTAACTTGAACCCAAATTAGAACATAAATGAAACACAAAAAAGGCTTGAACTTCAATCAAATTTGAACAAGGACTTGGACAAGTTGGCAGCATACTTGTGGACTCGATTTAGACTCAAGCAAAACCAGAGCTTTGAAATTGAGCTTTAACACTATAATGAACTTGATTTGGACATTGCAAATGACTTGAACTTGCATTTGATTTGATAATCAAATGATAAGAACAAAGAACAAATGAACAAAATGTTGTGGGCATAAGCTCAAGTTGGACTCATACTTGAACTTTACAAGACAACAAAAGAATTGAATGGAATACATAAGCTTTGAACTTGTTACATACAAAGAGCTATAAATTGTACTTGACCATTGAAGGCACAATGTGGAATGTAATTCAATACTTAAAATGGGACTTGTAATTTGGCAAGATGATAAGGTTAACCATACAAGCAAGGGTCATGGGGAGAATACAATGATATGCTTGTAATTAACAAGGCAAGGTTTCTAATAGAACATTGAGAAGTAATTGCATCAATGGAAGTGCATATACTAATCAACAAATGATATAAGATTCATCGTATACGATCAACTTAATTGGAGTATATAACATGAGTGCATGTTATTCATCTCAATCTTGGATGCCTTATTCACAAACAACACCTGAAGAATGTGAGATGAATAACAAGGCTTCCTTTCAATCAATGGCAACCAGCTCGTGGATGAATATAACATTTATCTATAAGCACAAAAAGCTAAATCACATGAGCATGGTCGGCTGCTAATGAATGCAATAATTCGCTGGCTAATGTGCGCGAAGGGGATATATTCTACTAATGACAAATATCCAGTGCATAATGGATACTCATGTGAGGTGTCATTTGCAAGGAGTGATGGAAGATCTTTTGAATGCAGAACAATATGCTTATAAGTGGTAATCAACAACATACAATAAATGATATAACATTCCTACAATAAGAAATAATCTGTAAATAGACACATCGATCTCTTGTAGACTGTTGAAATTCATGTGTCAAGAATTCAATGAATCACCAATAAAGATGAATGAGAGGGTTGTAGTGAACAAGACTCATATATGAAACAATCATGTAAGTAGATGTATCTGTCACATTAAACCAGAAGAGTTTGACATGCAATGAACATAATATATTCTTTCAAGCATAAATCAAATGGAAAGTATAACAATGTGTTTACAATCAATCAATGACATAGAGTTTCCAAGGAATGTTGGAAATCTTCAAGCCAATCAGAATGCAAAAATATAATGTGACATATGATATGGTATATTCATAAGTAAGGGAATTTAGCAGATGAGACAACTGTTTTTACAACGCTCCGACAATTAACATCAAGATACAAATAAGCATACTGATCTGCATGCAATCAAGGATAAAAAAATTTGCAATACATACAGTCTCTCTATAAATATAGATTAGCGGATGTATTGAAAAGACCAAAGACCACAACAAAATGCATGAATAATACGATAAGTGTAAGCTCCTAGGGCCCAAAGTAGGAGATTAGTTAGTGCACTATGATGCACCTACATAAAGCAACAAGTGAGACATGACAGTCTACCTGTACAAAGCAGCCAACAACTCAATCTAGAAGCTGCTATAACACGCCACTAGATTTGCAACATCTATATAAGAGGATAGAAGACATCTATAAATATTTCAAAATATCTCTGCACATGCATCGTAGTTTGTGTACACATAGGTACACAAAAGAGGTAAATGTAATCAAATACCTGTAAGGGCCCCAACGAGCGTGTTACTGGTACACACGTGACATCTAGAGATGCTGCATGGGTCAATAAATTTGAACCCGATCCTCCTAAGCAAGTAAAAAGGAGTCGATAAGGTATAATTATAAAATACCCCAAATACCTGTATAGGTCTTGGCGAGCATGTTATTGGTACACAAGTGACGTCAAGGGATGCTGCGTGAGTCGATAAGTGAATCCAAGTTTGAACCTAATCCTTCAATGCGGATCTATAGGAGTCGACAGGGTTCGAACCATCAGACAAATATATGATTATGGGGACCGATATATTTGTTTTAATACATTCATATTAGGCCTTCAAGGCCTATAACACTGAGAATTCACTAACAAAGGCATAAAGCCTACGAAACTCGATCCACTATCAGCAAGTTGATAGGGTCGACAAGGTTCAAGCTTAAATGGAAATGACCCTAAACACTCTGATGATGGCCGTGTTGATTGCAGATATCAATCAAAGGGGTTCATAAATACTTTTAAATGTCATTTAAATACCCACAAAATCCAAAATCTAAAATGCCAAAATAATCCAAAATTCAAAAAATATTTAAAATTGAAATAAATCCATCAACACTTGAAGTAAAATCCATCCACACTCCAAAACAGTTTGCCAAGGTGGACAAATTAAAATTTACTTCAGCTCACAAAGAGCCAAATGCATAGTCGAAAATATCACTAGGATCTATTCTCAAATAATCTCCTACCAATAAGGATGTGGTATGTGTCCTATGAACGGTCATTTTGCGCCAATTGGCACCACATAATAAACGATTTTGACCCGGGGCCCTTTGAACTGAGTGATTTTGCCGCTAAATGGCACCACAAAATACCAGTTATGGCCAGAGCCAATACGTTCCATAGTGGCATCAAATCCTTTATATATTAATCAATAGGATATGATCGATATGTCACAAAGCCCTATGTTAACTAAGGTGGATTTAAATTTGTCCTCTTAGACAAACATTCACCCCGGGTCTACAAGGTTTCCTTGGACGAAGCAACCCATGGTTACCGACAAGGATCCTTCTGTCAGGTTGGGTCAACTACCTCCTCTGACTAAGTAGACCAGACCATTATGCCGGACGACGCGAACTTATGGGATCTTGATAGGTCTATTATCCATTTCCCACCATCCCTTTAAATGTTAGATGGTAAAATTTCTACTTTTAATATCAAAATCTTTAAATTCCAACTATTTCCAAACTATCCAAACCTTTCAAATTCCTACTGCCCATTACTGCTACTATATGCCAGATACCATGTATTCTCTACATATCTGATTGACGACTAGCCTTAATCGATCAAAGTTCTCTCTTTGAACGAGAAGGTAATTAACTATAGGGCTGCAACTATATATCATCCCACGAGACAGGTTTGATAGTTTGGATAAATATCTTTATTAATAAAAAATATTAGAAAATAAAAGAAGCACACAATTGGATGCAAGAAATCTAAAAAGATGAGTTCTTATGTAGAATTGATTAACCGATATTTCATGGATTGGAATATTCACCTACATATATTTTTTTGGATATGAATGTAATTTTCTAAAATGGCCTATATCATTTTAACAACCATCCAATATTAATCAATATATATTATAAAAGATAGGAAAATTAATACCCTGAAAAAAAATTCCCCAAACCCCAACATTCTCTCTCTCTCTCTCTCTCTCCTTGATCTACTTATTGGAAGCTTTGATTACCAACAAGAGGTTTTGGGTTTTAGTCTTGCATATGTGATGCGTGGAAAACACAAATCATCAATTTTTGCTTTATAATGACTTGATTGTGTTGTGATATGGTTTGTCCGCATCAATTTTTTATTTGTTTTTCTTTATGTGCTTTTTAATGGACAGTGCATTTTTGGTTCCGTATAGTTTATCTTCTACTTATTAACTCTACATTTGGTGGAGCTATAAAAATTTGGGCTTAAGTCAAGAATGTCTCTCTTAAGATTTTCTTTAGTTGATATGAAATTTTCTTAACCCAAGTAGGGTGTGGGTTTTCCCTTATTGGTAAAATTAAACACATTTATAGATGCTTGCTTGGCCCTCAATAGTTTTCTAATTAC